TCAGTTTTAATTTTAATAAAGCTTATTTCTTTATTTATTAAATAGTGAAAAGATCTAAAGAGCTATAATACAGAACAGAGACATAAAATACATAATTGAAATTTAACAAATTATAAATAAATTAATAATAAAATAGAGAGTGATTGGTTCTAAATTATTAATCTTAAAGATGACGCATCTCCAAGTTATGCTATACTTAATAAAATATATATAAAATATAAATAATAATAAAAGATAATTAATACAAATTAAAAATAATAAAAGAAAAGAAAAAAAGAATGAATAAAAAAAGGTAATTAAAAATAATATGTATCTAAATTAATAATATAATTTATATTTTACATCTAATTTATTTAGCGCAATATTAAAAAATATCAAATATAGAGTTGTGTTAATTTCTTTCATGTTATGCAAAAATTGATAAATATAACACAAAAATAATAAATATGATACAAGAAATTACAAGAGTATATGAAATTGTTACAATTTATAACTTTGTTATTTATTTATAACTTTTTATTATTATAAAATTATATTTATTATTATTTGTTAAATTATAATTTCTTATTATTATAAAATTATATTTATTTTAGTTTATTATATAATTTTTTATTTTAATTATGAAGTTATATTAAATTAATTTAATAAAAAAATAATTAATATTATACTTATTTATAAATTATTTATAAAAATATAATTTTATTTATTTTTATTAAAAAAAATTTTGAACTTATTTTAATTATTAAACAAAATAAATATATATTATTTCTTTTACTTATAATTTTAATTATATATATAATAAAATTAATTTTATTTTTTTACAATAATTAAATTACTAATTATTAATTAATAATTAATTGGATATTATATTAATTTAAAAATTATATTAATTCTAAAATTATTAAATATAAAAATAAAAAATATGTATAATTTTAATTATTTATATTATTATTTATATTTGATTTAAAATTATATTATATATTTGAAAATTATAAAATTATATAAAACAATAATATATAAAATTTATAAATTAATTATTAATTAAAAATATCCAATTCAATTTTTTCTCTTATAACAAAAAGTTTATATAAGATATGAAACAACTTTTTATAATAATTTGCAAAAATCAGTTATATTATTATAAGTAAAATTTATTATAAAATTCTTATTGAACAATAATTAATCAATTAATTAATAAGGATAAAGATATTAATTAGATGATTTTGATTAATAAAAAGCTTATTTCCCTCTCTTTTATCTGATTTTTTTATTGGCTAAGAATTTTTAATTATTTGATTTAGATCTATATCTGATTTTGTTCAGATTCTCTCCTCTAAAAATTACCTGGTTAATATTTTTACTCTAATTATTTAAATAATTATTCAAAATAATTATATAAATAATTATTCAAATAATTATACAAAATGATTATTTCAAATAATTATTTCAAGCAATGATTTTAAGTAATTATTTCATTCTAAAAGTTAATTGATAGTTTAATATTTGATAATTATTTATAAAAAAAATATGTATTTTAACTTAGAATTAGTTAAATTCTAAACTTAAAGTTAAATTCTTATAGCTCAAAAAGAACTTCTTTAATAATAAAGTTCTTTGAAAAATTAATAAATAACTAAAAGATTAATTTGGATTTAGTTTGTTTATGATCCTTCATTTTAATTGCGATATTATATTTATTTAATTTTATTTTGTTATAATCTCTTATCTTAATCGTAAAATCATATTGAATTGATTTAATAAATTGAATTATTAATATTTTACTTGTCTATAAACTATTTAATTCAGTTATTTAATACATATAAAGATATCGAAGATTTATAAAACCAATATGAAATATAAGAATTGGAATTTAATAATTTTTATTAATTACATTATTATTATTTTGTGTATATTTTAAATTGTGCCAACAATCCACTTGATTAGTAAAATTGCTGATCTTCAAGAACGATCTTTCTGGTAAATAGCCTTTTTTACCTGTGTGCGGCTTGTTTCACACTCTGAAACTGCTTGTTATATTCAATAGCGAGTACTTTTTGCTTGGACAACTTCCATATGCCAGTAAGTGCTTTTAATTGCCAATTTGGTAGCACATACATATTAAGAAAATTTGTAATAATTAAGACAAAGCATTCCTTCTTTAAACATCATCCGTCACTCTTTCAACCAAAAACATAAATTAAATCAATAATACATCTAATATATCAATCACTGTTGATGTATATTCGATATAAAGCGTGTTCTTTAAATGAAAAGGCAAATAATGCGAAACGGGCGAAAGAAATAAAGCATACAAGAAATAGGATCAGAAAAAAATTACGCAAACATAATAATATAGTAATGGCAAAAAAATTTGATTTACCAAATAATTGATTCAACTATTCCAATGCTTATAACTGACAAGAATAAAAACCAATACCACCGATCAAATTGTCCTCTATTATACTAATATAATAGATGAACCACAGATCCAACCTCATATCTCGCATACCAATATTTTTATTTTAATTTTTTGATTTGTTGTCGCTTCTTATTTTCAAGTTCACGTTCACGTTCTTCGAACCATTCTTCAGGGACAATCATTAATTGTCGTCCGACCGTTCCGAAGCATACACAAGAGGCGTATAAGATACACTGCAAACCGCGTATCAATTCGTAAGGAATAATGGGCACGAAAGATGAAGCACGTCAATGAGGTTATAGATAGACAAACAAATGGATTGCATGTAATGTAAATATAAAAGTGGGCAATGATATGTGATGTCCCATGTCGAGCACATCAAAGAACCATAACAAAGATGAAAAGACAAATTACTTACAGGGATCCAAGATCTTACGCCAAAAAAGTCTGCTTCGGTGAAACTATTTATTAGAATTGAAAGAAAGAAACCGGAAATAGGCGTAAGCATCATTATATTTAAAATCAAAGTAATTTTTTTTGGATATATAATACAGCAATATTCTTAACTTACATATCTATACCCGACTCACCTATATACTCCATATGAAACAAATACGTACATAAAAACTGTGCCTATCGACGAAAATAGCACCGACATCACAAATCCGTGGAACGTGCGATCGAAAAGAAACCATAATACCACCGATATTAATGCCAATGTCAGCGAAACTTGCGAATTACTATTCCATGGTAATTTCTATTTTGTCGTTATTATTATCATCATTAGCTCATCAAACGAAATATATAATTCTTATTAAAAAGATAAATAATTACCGTTGCGGCATATGCGACACCAATAAATCCGCCCAAACATCTATTTTCGTAGAGAAAAGACAAAATGAACGTGATTGGTTGATGAATGCAAATTAAGTATTTCATATTCCTTAAATTCGCATTCTCGTTAATTGTCTATTCATGTATTCGTTTCCGATTTCTCACATGTTAGCTGACTTATGCGTACTCTTTTTGAAACAGATGATTATTTCTGGTAGGAAAAGACGCGTGCCGGCATTTTATAATAGATTTCGCGCGTTGAATGAACATCAACTCCTGCATAAAAAACCTATCCCGCTTCTGAATAATAAATTAATCAATAATAAAAAAGAAACAAACCTCATTACATTACTCCATTCACGCTGAAATTCCTGTGGTTTTTTTAGAAACCAATAATCTACCAATGGAAACAATGAACCCACCAACACCGCTGAAAAACCACAAGTAGGTGGTATCCAAGCAGCGGTGTTCACCAGTTTAACAATGTCCTTTGGGTATTGTGTGATGTGATTTTCGGTGAGTAAATGATCAATTATAAAAGAGGTAAGAGACCCGAGCAAGAACAATATAAGAATCCGAAGTGAATAATAATTAAATGAAAGTTTATGACAAGGCTCATTAAGACAATGTTCGTTTTTTGGCTCCCGGCTGTTTGGGATTGCTGGCATTGTTGTTGCTATCGTGCCACCATTAGAGCGAAGAGTATTAGTTGTCATCGTCGTTGTTATGCTAGAAGTTAAATAAGTTTTCTCGGTCATTTTGTTTTCTTTATTGTTTATTAATTTCTGCGGTAGTGAAAGTGGTTGATATAGAGTCGAGGATGTAATTTTTTTAACTTTTTCTCTTTTTATCGAGTTTTTATTTTTCTGTTTCTTTTTACGAAGCTTTTTAACACTTTGATGCCGTGTTACAGAAGTTGCCTCAATTAAGGACTCGATAGGTATGGAGAAACTATCCAATATTGTATCGAAGATATGATCGTTCGCTTTCACACTATTCTGTTTTTTGGTATTATTATCCTCGTTACTATTAACATTACTGTTATTGTTGCTGCTGCTACTGCTGCTATTACTACAAGTACTGAAGCTACTTCGGCCTTTTGTACTATGAAGAACAAGAAATTGTTGTAAATGCAGTTGTTGCTGAAATTCTTGGTAGCGGAATAATTGTAGTTGAGAATGAGGGTCGATGGTCGAAAAAGTTGATAATTGTTGATGAATTGGATAATTATTGCTATAATGGTTATAGTGGCGTTGATTATGCCTAGATTTTGACGATGCTGATGCGACACCCATTTGATTTTTTGAAGTTTTGCAAAATTTCTAATTGTGTATTACTCTTTTTTGTGACAAAAAACATACACGTGCAACAAACGCGTGAATTGGACAGAATGACAGTATAATATAATATAATATAATATAATATAATATAATATAATATAATATAATATAATATAATATAATATAATATAATA